TAGATATCTATGTAGATATATTTTACAAATAAAAAAAATAATTATCAGGGCAAGTTAGAAAGAGTTATCCTCAAAATATTTTTTCAATATAAATAATTTTTCTAGATATCCAAATCCCATTGTTTTGTTCTTTTTAATGTGAAAGGATTGGAATCTGTTAAACAGATCTTCTGAAAAAAGTTGTTCCACACATGTCCTACACAGTCTTTTTTTTTTTTTCCACAAATACATGTATAGATCATACATACATACATACAAATACATATATATACACGTGCAGATTTCTAGACAAGATGCAACCATTTCCCTTAGATTAACTTCTGATATGTAAAATCCAAGTACAGAAATGAGTAAAGGGTTAAAATAACAATCTCAGAATTCAAGTCAGCTGTGACAGTATTCAGCACATTGAGCTGCTGAAATCTACACGGAATTAGACATCCCTTTGCCCACCGAACCAAATTAACTGGTTTGTTATTACCTTGCATAAGCAGCATTTTAGAGGACCAGGGACAGGAAGAAAAGGGCGTATATCACCTCACGCTTATTACCAGGCAGCTCTTGCTAAAGCTCACCCACTTGCTGCCTTCCCCACTTCCCAGCTCTGGAGGCAGAAGTTACCAAGCAGCCTCAGAGCAAATCCCAGTAACAATTCTTTCTCAGCTTTACAGAGGCACACAAAGGTGTCCTGTTGGCAGCAAAATCTGGCTTCATCAAACAAGAGGCTATTTCAAACACAAGTGCAAACACTTGTAATCTGAATATTTCAAAAATAAACAACAGAAAAAGGAGAAGGGAACAAGCAGAGAGCTTTGTTGATAAAAGTGAGTTTAGCAAAAAAAGTTAACTCTAAATTGATTAAAATGGAGAGTAATTGCAAGTAGAATCTAGCAGATGCTATTTAAATAATATTGTTAACAGGTTGCAAACAAGGAACAAATACAGACCTTTTAGGGATTAAGAGGAAATGAAAAGTTATACATTCTCAGTTAATTTATTTGATTATTTTACCTCCTTTGTCATATACAGACTGACAAACTCAAAGTTGTGTTTTGACTGAAATTTAAAATGATATCATGATTAATTTGTACGTACATATTTTAGCTCTTGACTTGCTTGCAAACTAGTTATTAAAATTGCTGATTTGATTATATGCTGGTTGTATTTCACAAAAAGCCTGAACCAAGGTACTGACAAATCATGCCTGGCTTGGAAAACGTGCTGCCACACTGTGTGCTTGGCCACCTAGGCCATATGCTGTTATTCCTACCCCTCAGTTGGATAATGTCCTCCACCACAAAGAACTCCCAAAATGGCCACACAAAGATCTATGCACTTTGACTTGCTGGAGCTGAAGATTTCCATTCGTGCACATCTAGACATATCACACTATATTAATTTTCAAGCAATATTTTTAAACAAAATTTTGGTGAGAAAGTGTTTGTGAAAAATGTACAGAAGAGGACAAAAATGTGAGTGATCCTAGCTTTGTGGCTCTTACACAAACAAATGTTTGTGAGTATTTCTGTAAAACTAACTACATCTTGTTTGTAATACACTTCATGACATTAGAAAGAGAATATTTAAAAATACAGGCTCACATCTGCAGAAAGAGCAGCGCTAATTATGAGGAAACACAGAAAATGGACATAAAATGCAGTAATATATGCAGAGAGTTTTTTTAACCCCTCTAAAAGTAAACGGAATAAAAAAAATGGTAAAAGGGGAATAAACCAAGCATTAAATATAAACATGCGTGACTATCTGTCTAGAGTATCTTATTTAGATTTTTCAGCTATTTATTGTCTGTTAATTTCCTGTGTTCCTGTTTTTCTATTGAAGCATCAAACACCAAAGCACAAACCTTCAAACTGCCTCTGCATCTTTAATAAATATATACACACACACTTTCTATAGGCTTAGTTAGATGCTAAAGGTATGTGCTGTATGTCCTGAAATACCTGCATTTTGGAGAGTGACTAACACAAATAGCAGTCTTTTTAATTCGTTTCATGTAAAAGCCAAACTTTCCCTAACATGATTCCCTTTCAGTCTTTTGTAATGAACTTCACCAGAAAGCTGTAGGTAGCAAGTTTCATCTATATATCTAAGGCTCAATATGATTTTTTGTATTAAAAATAAAGGGAAAAAGCAGGGGAAATATTTTGAAAGTCAATTAAAATTTTGTGTACGTTTTCATTTTTTAATGATAAATTAAGTTACTAATTTTGTCCGTGCTCTTTGTAGACACTGCAGGTTTAATTGCTAATTGTTAACTGCGAATGAATACATTTGCATATTAATTAGCTCCCAATTTACATTTTTAATTTGCTTCCTTCAAAAGGTGCAAGATAAAAGGTCGTGTTATTTTAAATAATTTATGCTTTATTGCATGAAATACGCTAATATGAAATGTGCCTACTAATTTTAACCCCTTTTCTAAGAACCAAAGTGAAGAACATTAAAAAGAAAGACAAATCTGGGGGTGTTTCGAAAAACAACATTATGCCATGTTGTTCTTCAGCATTAGAACTTGCTTTTTTCCTGAAGCCCAATCTGGTTGAAAATTAATGCATTCTTTCCTTCACCATCAGTTTAAAAAGTGATAGGATATTTGAAGAACAAAACAGCTGCCGAAGGGGGATTGATTGTTGTTGTTTCCTGCAGAAGATTAACAAAAAAGGTTCTCTCACTCCATCCCCTCCATCCCTCACCCCAGTATATTTTCAAAGGAAGTGAAAACCTATACAGGAAAAAGATAATTTCCCAAAAGCATGTTGCTTATGAGGGAAAAAAACCACATTTTTAAATGTCCATGTGTACTTAACATATCAGGCTTTTGATTTTAATAGTCAGCAAGGATAATCAAACAGGAGAAGGATGTCCCACCTTACGTAATCACAGCAAGATAAGCCTAAGGAAGAAAAGTCTGATTGTTTACTTGTTTGTTTATTTTATGTGACCTCAAGGATCTTCTTAGAGGGGAGGTTCAACACGCTGTTCAATACATATCAGTACAAATATGGCTAGGCAAAGATGTTATTACGAGTGATCCTACTGTTTCATAAGAAAGTGTCAAATACAAGCCTAGAAACACAGAGGCACAGAGCTGATCACATATTACCACTGATTACAGAAATATCTTCTTTTATTTTGATTTCCTTTTGTGTGCCACAGCAAATTCACTCTGAAGAGGGTTGTGCTTAGTAAGGCTTTTTTTGCCATAATTGTTGTGTGAGTACAAAAGAATACTATTACTTGTATAATGTCACAGAAAAAAAAAAGTATATATACTTAGCTCGAGAAATAATCTTTCTTGATAGGTAAAAAAACCAGATATACCGCCTGAACACTGTAAGGCCTTCAACAGGAGGACCAGACCTAAAAAGAAGTTATGTTTTGTGCTTTCTCCCAAACCATTATTAAAAAACACTGATAACTGTGACCAATATATACNTAGTGTCCTACACAGCAGAAGGAAACATAAGAACCTTTAGGAACAAAATTTACAACATAATGGAAAAGACCCGTTTCCCTCAGCCTCCTAACATGAATCCCTTTTCCTTTCTAGATTAAAAGTCTTCCAGCCGTATTCAGTAAAGTAGCTTTGATTAGATTTCTGGTAGCATATCAACTGCATTAGAGAATTTTAAACAGAACTTGTGGTTTGGTTGCTTGACAAGTATAAAAAAATCTTTTTAGTTCTACCACACACAAAACACTGGGAGAAATAACAACAGTGAAGTATTTTTCCCTCTAGATATGTTAGCTGCATAATCAGATCTTCAACTGTATTAGTATAGTTCTTGATTTTGTGGAGCTCTCTTTCCTTACATCTACACTAGCATAAGTAAAGCACTGCCAATTTGTCCATTTAGAGCAATCAAGGTAGCTATAAAGCAGTGTCAATACTTTTTATTTCAAATGACACTGACACTACATGAAAACAACCAAGACCATCAAAACCCATGAGATTCTAGCGATCATAATCTACAAAAGAAGGTAATATTCTAATAACAAAATGGAGATGGTTGGAAAGAAATCACCTTTGATAAGGAAGGGGAAAAAGGAAGAAAAGAAAGGCAAAAGAAGACAAGAGAGCTGGGTTAACACGTATCAGTTACTTGGATACAGCTGATAAGGACTTTTCGTAATGTACATGAAGCATGTAGTAAAGCCAGGAGCACTGTGATTTAAGAAAATCTGAGAGAACATCATCCTTTTATATGTCTTGTTCTTATCATATCACCATGATTGATGTTTCAGTTCATTGTACATAACACAATGCTTCCAAAAATCAAAGACTAACTGTAATTCTTTTAGATTTGTTCTTTTACCTTGATCGTAGGTACAAAAAAATTTTCTGAAATGCACAAAAATGTTCAAAACTGTAACTGCAAAAAAATAGCACAGTGCTCCTTGCCACTGTTTACTTTTAAAGTTTTCCAAAACAAGCACTGAAATTTAGCAGTCAACTTTAGTTAATAGAGCTACTTATAAACAGCATAAATCATACAGCTATGGATTTGTGCATGCAAGGATAATCTATGACATCCGTCCTGATTTTGCTTAGAGTAGTAGTCAAAACATTTTTGCTTCTTGCAGGTCATGCTGATCTGTGGCATAATTTGAATTCTCAAGCTGTTATCCATATATCATTACCAACAACTTTCCAAAATAGAAAATAATTTCTACTTCTTTAATTAAAAGAAGGAGCTACTGTGTGCACTTGGCTGGGTCCTGAGTTAATTCTGGGGAGAGACTTGAGTTTAGGGGTCAGATGCTCAGCTGAGATAAACTGATAAGGCTCAGCTGGAATTAATGGAGCTATCCCAGTTTACTTAACTGAGGATATAGTCGTTTTGTATTTCTAGCACTAAGCACTGCCAACTGTTTTCAGATACACCTGAAGTGCCTGAATGTCGTTATTACTAATTGATGTCTATACAGCACCTTTGATGCAGATGGGCATAATGCTCTTTACATATTTTTTCTGCCAGATTCCACCCACAGGAACACTAGATTAAATCAGGAGGAATGCCACCGAAAAAAAGCATAGTGAAGAGAAGGAACAGCACATCTCAAAAGAGAAAGTGCATCTGGCTCAGTGATTTCTTGCACGCTGTTTGCAAATGCAACCAGTTCTGGGGTAGAACAAGGCAGTAGTTCAACAGTACTCACAGACAACTAAGCAAGTTCTGCATGGCAATAATTCCTTGATTTTACTTATGACAAACAGTAATTAGCTCATGGTTATGTAAATATATTCTTATCCAGGTAACATTTTTCATTGCTTGTATCACAGACAGGAGCTCTGCAGCTAAGAAATATGCACAATTAGGAGGAAAAAAAAAACTTATAAATTATGATAAAGAGCTTCTGAGATTTACCATGTCACAAAACCTCCCAGTGTTTCTCCCAGTTTCCAGCAACCTATATAGTTAATCAAGCAATAATTGATCTCTAACAAAGCTACAAGGCAGGCTGCAATATGATACGAGTTAGACTTTCTGCTGAGGAAGACTATTCTGTCATGGGGTAGAAGTTCTTCATCTTAGCCAAGAACAGTTATGTCCATCTCCCATACAATTCATCCAGAGCACCGTTAGTTGTATGATGGAAGAGGTGCCTAGCTCTCACTCCTGAAGAGGTACTTCTTCATGTAGAGGAGCATCAATCAGTTGAGGGATTTACAGACCAAAACCAGAGACTGAGCTGGTGCCAGCTGCAGTCTTATAGAGAAGAGGGGTGATACAGAGCCTTGCTACATGTTCTGCAGTTGTACTGGTGAAGAGCTGGGCCACTGTACTCTGCAGAGCCATAATCTCTGTGTTGCTACTTCGTTTAGCTTTACATATAATGAATCATGGTAATCCTCTTGAGATTTGATAGACATTAGTTTCACTGACTGTATCCTCCTCAGCCATAGTGGAAGAGGTGCAGTCTTTTGGCAATGTTCTGGGTATGTCTGTATGTGCTCATGTATGTCCTGCTGCACTGTGGACATCAGCATCAGCACAGTCCTACACGTGAGATAAGCAAATCCAGCAATTAATGCAGTATATCAGTCCAGGAATAGTTCAGAGCTATAATCTCCAAAGTCCACATAAGCATTTGGCCTGACGCCCCTAGTGGAGGGTCTGATTAGCCCTCTCAGTGCTCCTCCACCCTAGCTAGCTGCATAAACAGGTTAGCAGTACTTTGTGGCCATCTTGGCAGAAGTTGCAGAGGTGAAGCAATGTGAGGACTGAGATCTGACATTTGTGCTACAACTAAAAGACAGAGATCAAGAAGTGACAAACACACAACAGTCAAGAAAAGCTTGGGACAGGAGCAGAGCAGAGAAGGAGCTGCAAGAGATGGACTGAAAGTTATTTCAAAGCTGATCGTTTCTAGTGCTATTTTATTTTTGTGAGATATAAATGGAGCCTGATGTTTTAGAATACGCTCCTCACACTGTGACAGTAATGGTTGTCAGAGTATGCTGCTGACTATTTCAATCTATCAGACCTCTGTAGCATCTGTGACTAGTTTAAAAGGTCCGTTGTAGTGTGTAAATGTATGACACTGTCTTATGAAATGGTGGACTAGCCCTGAGAAATTGTTTGATAACAGTGGCTTGTGCCAAAGAATCAGTGATCAGTAAAGGATTGTTTTCTTTGGTGAACTGTTACTAGCTCCAGCATGCTTCTGGGACACAGAGGCAAGTTTACCTCCTTATGAAATAGCCTTTTTCCAAATACTTCCCAGAACTCATAAAGAGCATTACTTCTAGCAAAATGCTCAATGATGTTGAAAGTAGGAAGCCTGATTCTCCTTATGCTGGGTTGAGCCTCAGGACTAAAGCAATAACACAAAACAATTTGTCTGGTTTGTAAACTGAGAACATTTTCCATGTGACTGAATGGAACAGGAAGCACATGTTGAGAGCCCTCAAGTACCATTTCCGCAGAAGGATTCTGTTCACTGCAATGAGACCTTTAAAAAATATCCAAGATGTGAAAAGATATTTGAGAAATTTTCATGAAGAATTTTTAGTACCCTCTGCTGTAATAAGCAGAAGGTGTTTAATAAACATGATATGCAGCAGTTGCTAAGCAGAATCTGATTTATGTACAGTAGCAGTTAGAAGCAACTACACATCAGGGTTGTACACTTTATTTGACTGTGAATTCTGATTTTCTGATGGAAGCAATTCTGCTGAACTTAATTTATAATCAGCTTACAACATGGGTAGCAGAATTATAAATGCTTCTCAAATTACATAGCAAATCTTGTTGTCTTCTTGGGCAAATAAGAAACCTACATCATGAGCTTTAAGTGTAATACAGGTCATTGTCAAGGGTAAAACACTTTCCAAATCCTTTTGATAGTTGAAATCATACTGCATTTAAAAACAGAATGCATGTCAACTCAGTGTACCTGAGATGGTATTGCATCTGCTCAGTACATATATTTCAAAACAAATCATTCCTAATTTTTTCTTCCCCCCATTAAATTAAAGATTAAAACTCAATGGATTCTTCTATGGATTACACTGGGGTTTGTACAAGTGAGGAAGAGGGAGACAGAAGCTCTGGTCTCTGCTTCATCAGTGTAAACAGAGCATAATTTCCACACCAACATAAACCTGTTAGCTGTGTACCAGGGAAACAGAAATCAGAGCTTGACCCAAAAACAGAGCAAGACAGAGAAGTACAGGTTCAGTTAGTGGTGTTCAAGAATCAGGCTCATGTTTTGTCTGTAGACAGAACAAAAATGAGGATGTAAGCTGTGCCTCATATGGCATTATATGATTACAGTGCTCTATCCTTATCTCATTAGAAGTCAGTAAAATCAATGAAATCATGTTTACTCACATCAGATGAAAGTCTTGCCAAAGAGAAAGCAGAAAGTATATAGGGAAGTCTCCAAACCTCTTCCCCTTCCACTTCTTTTTCCATTTCCCTTTTCCTTCCTCAATATATTAGAATTTTTAAAATGAAATATTAGGAGACTTAATAGAGCCCCACAATGAATTTTTAGTGCCAGCAAGTGAATAATGACATTCCTATCAATCAAGTCAGACAAGAAGATCCTGCTTCAGAATGGTTCCTCGACCCAGTGAAAACATTTCTGGGCATGAATCTGTCTGCCACATTGGAAGTAAACCAGGAACAGAATCTTGTCAAGGAATAAACTTCATTTTTGTCTGAATTATTCTGATGCTATCAGATGGCTATCATAATAATATTAAATATATATGCATGTTTTTTTTACCCTGCTAGACAGTCTGATAATTTTCTTTAGTTTCTTTCCATTCTCGAGATTCCCCAGATTTTCCAACTAGGCTAGTCCTGTAAGTCATTTGATGCACAGACCCTAGCATACCAAACTCTTCCACTGAGAGACTATTTAAAGAGCAAGGGCTCTGCAGCAGAGCACATGCATACTGCTGTTTCTTGGGGTCACAACACACCATGCACAGAAATAAAAATGAAGGGGCTTCAGCAGACAGAAGGAGAGTGAGTGGAAAGGATTCTTGACTAGAGAGAAGCAAGGTTGGATCTTGGGTCCTTGGCCAAGTGTTCTGTTCTCCTTTGTAGATGCAGAATTTTAGATGTTCCTCTTTTTTTTATTTTTTTTTTTTGTGGCATCATGCAATTTCCAGAAAAATCTATTATAATGCAGTGAGATAAATAAACACATCCATGGCCATGGGAGAAGAGCACACCAGTCTAAACCCAGCCAGACCTGACTCCAGCACATACAAAGGTATCACTCAGCCCTCTCTGTCCAAGGCTACCTGAGCTACACCAGTGCTGCCACATTGTACAAGAGTCAGAGGAAGAATCTTGCCCTATATTTTTCCTGAATCAGAAAATTCCTAGAGCAGAATTCTTCCCCTCTCCAAATCTGCGGAATGACCATTGATGAGGACACCTCCTCCTTGCACATGCAAGATGTTCTGCTGTTTAACCTGTAGAAAGTGCAGTCCTCCCTGTTAGTGTCCCACACCAAGGCAGATTCTGCCCTGCAGGACATAGTAGTCATGCATAATAACCTTCAAAGCCCACTTTGTTTACAGTGTTAATGTGTTATGTCAAGCTGAGTTCTCACCCTTTTTCCTGCCGGCCTGTTCTGTGAGGTTTGTATTTCCCTCTCTCAATCAATAACAGCTTAAGTAGCAAATAGAGTTCCCATCCCCCAGCACTAATAGACCCTCATGCAGTCAGGAAGCATCAAGATGAACCCTCAGTTACCACTGTGCACCCTGTTTAATGTATGCATTTTTATGGCCTCTGATGTATATGGTTCCATTACTGTCTATGAATGCAGAGTACTGGAGCTAGTTAATGTATTATTTATTTTATTACCCCTTTGTATAAGCTGGTATTTGCAATTTGGAATTTTATATACTTTGGTTCTATAATGGTTTTATAATGTGTACACAGCTCAATAATTAAAAAAATATATCTTACCACCTCACCTCTAGAGCCAAGTTTGTTTACGCTGCTAACGGCACATTCCGGCTAGCACTGGTCCCACACCGTCTGCTGGCCCCTCTGCTCCCGGCCCCAAAAGCCTTGCTGATCCCTCTGCCAGGACATCACCCTGGGAAATACAGCACCATTTTGTTCTTCCTCTCTGGGATGAGAGGCAAGTTTTCTAAAATTTTGGAGTTCTCAGATTTTTAGACCTAATGTGTGGCCGGCTGGCACATCCCCTTCATTACCAAGGGGAGCCCCATGAGTACAAGGGCTGCCTGTCTGCCCAGTGCTCAGCCCCACATAGGGTTTTGCCTGAGCAGTAGCAGAAACAGTTTCCCTCACCAACAAAGTAAGGTTCTGCCAGTACAACCTGTCATGCAGCACACGGGGCAACAGGAGGGACTGAAAGGAAGAGGCAATTTCTATCTCCTGACAGGGCGATCAACATGTCCTACATTCAGCTCTGGCCACACAGTCCTAACCCTGCAGCACTGCTGATCCTCCTGCCAGCTCATGATGAGGAGCTTGCCTCTCCTCCAAATGGCCTGGAAGTTCACTTTCAAAAATTTACAGCAATATCCCTTAAGGTATCACAGCCTTGCAGCGCAACTGTGGTTATGGATTTGATTTAGTAC